GTCCGATTTTAAGTGTGGGGGAGTTTTGCGTGCTTACGTTACTATGTGGTAGACCAGGTCTAGTTTTCTTTTTAGGTTTGTTTTTATTTCTTTTCTCTTGCTTGGTGGACCGGTCTAGTTTTTAGGATTTTTCTTTTGTTTCGATTTTCTGAGCTTGGACTTTGGTGTATTGTAAGACTAGTTGATAATCGATTGATTAAGTTAAGGAGTTGTGATTTTGAGAACGAGTGGCATATTTTGACTACTTTGCTTGGTTAGTTTGAATGACATTATCTACCTTGTGAGGCTTGAGCCATACTTGTTTTCTTGAGAGACGTTTGGTTTGAAAATTTATTCATCTAGGATTTGCTTTAAGTCTACCTTGAAATGAAAATGAATCGATTGAATTTGTGAAACGTGAATATGATTGAGGCATTCCTTGTATTTTCTTCTCCTTTTCTTTTCTATGAATAACAATCACTAGTCACCCCCTTTGAGCCTTATATGATTTTATTGTTAACCTCATGATGATGATATTGAGTTGTGGGTTGAGAATTGGAGGTGTTAGCTATTTGAATTGTGAATATGTTCTTTTGTTCTGGAAAAAAAAAAAAGGGAGCCAAATGGATTATACTCCTAGCGCTCGATCCACTTATTCAGCGGATTCGAGCCATGAGTACGGGAAACCGGTCTAGGAGACTCGAGCTGAAAACTCGATGGTGAAACCTAGATAAGATGTCCAAATGGTTCTCGCAAAAAAAAAATAAAAAAATAAAAAAAAATAAAATAATAATAATAATAATAATAATAATAATAATAATAATAATAATAATAATAATAAAAATAATAATAATAATAATAATGAAAGGAATTGTTTGGGAAATAGGTGATTTTGGAGTTCGTAGGAATGAACCGGTTGGTGATTGATAACCGGAGGTGTTCACGATTACGGATGGGTGATGGAATTGAGTTGAAGTTGTTTTTATCTAGCCACTTAGCCTATATGTATCCTACCGATCCAAAGAGCCTACGTTACAACCCGAGAAGTCCTCTTGATTCATCGTTTCACGTTTTCGATTGTTTTAGAGTAGAAGTTAGACGATTGGCAAATCTATGCATGATGGATTGATAACCAACTTGAGTGCACCTCTTTTATATTTACAAAAGAAACTGAGTGAGGCATATGATATATTTTCGTTCTTGAGAGTCTTTGTCATTCGAAATAACTAAGTTCATGGTTGATGTGTGTTCTCGTGATCATTTGAATTCTTCGTGACTTGATTGATTGGTTTGAGATTAGTCTTGCTTGAACCATTGTACTTGCTCGTTTATTTGTTTTCTTTTGTTTTCTTTGTTCGGGACGAACAAAGGTCTTAGTGTGGGGGAGTTGTTTGTCCCATTTTTGTTGCTATTCTCGTTGCTATTTTGTGTGTCGTTTCCCCTGTTTTAGGTCTTTTCCTAGGTATTTTTGGTCCATTTAGTCGTTTCTTGTGTTTTTATCTTTATTATGCTGTGTTTAGTATTTTCTTTGTTTTTCCTCCTATTTTCTTGTTTTTCGTGTTTTTCCGGTTGTGGTGGTTTCATGTTCAGATGATGATAGCAGTATTCAGGTCGGGCTCCTAGGAGTTATACATTGGTTTGAGTTTATAGCTCGGGCAGTACCCGAGAAATGCGAGACGAGAGCTCATGAGTTCGAAACTTGGAGATTTTGGAAGCTGCCCAGGCCATAGCGCCGCTATGGCCAACCCAGAAAGCGGCGCTGGATGCATAGCGAGGGACTGAGGCTTGACTGTCTTCAACCATAGCGGCGCTATGGTCATAGCGCCGCTATGCCCCATTTTGTAACTGAAGCTATTTTCTCGGAATTTCGAATTGGGAAGCTTAAGGATCGTGTTTTCTTCACTTTTGAACATTCCCAGACTTCGTTTTTTACAGTTTTTCATCTCTAGAACATTTCTTTCTCTTACTTTGATCTTGGATTGGATTTTGGAGCATAAAAACTCCTTTTCTAGCTTTGGATCTTGGATTGCTCGTTGTTTTTCTCGACATTGGTTTTTCTTATCAATCGTAAGCATCTTTTCTCATTTAATTATGATGTTTTGTGCTTGGGTTGCTATGAGTTCTTGGTTTAAAATTGCAATGAGTGGCTAAATTCATTAGCTAGGGTTAGGGGATCATCGTTCCGGTTCGATTTCATTTATGTGTTTGATTAATTTGCTCAATCTTTTCGAGTTGTGCTTAACCTAGGGTTTAGATGTTTGATCACCATCTCAATCTAATTAATCGATTTTGAAACTGAAAGGGGAGAAATCGTTTGACCTAGGCTCGTTAAGAATAGACTTTTTCGGTGACGTATTGTCTATGGGCTAATCGATTTGTGATTGATTTGTCTACGTTTATTCTCTTGTTTCGTGAGATATTGAGAATGAACCTCTAGACGAGTTAGTTTTTGAGTCCTCTAGTCGAGTAATTGATTGTTTGTGAATTGTTTTGAGAACCGGAGACGATATCCCCGATACCCTAGCCCTTTCATCATTATTCGAATTTAAACTTTAAATTGTGAATTTGAAATTGCTAGTCGTGTTCTTGTTATTCGTAGTTTATAAAATCAAACCAAACCAATCGAATTAGAGTGTTTAGGACTTGTTTCTTCTTTCGTGTGTTCAAATAGTCGTGCAATTTATTCCGGCTGACCTTCCTTGTGATACGACCCGGTGTCGAATCTTTGGGTTCTACTTCGGTTAAAAATATTTACAACAATTACTCAAAAGCCTTCTAATGTATTATCTAAACATCTACTCTGAAAAATCTCGGTGGGCGATTTTTTGGATGTCTTTGACTGTCAAAATATATGAAGAACACAATTTTTCTCTTCCTCTTGGAACCTTAAAATGGAGCTATCATACGTGTAGGAGAAGAGGTTAGGACATGGTGTATTTATAGGCTACATTAGGGACCTAAAGGATGTGATAAATACGGGATTATCCTATGAGGTTTAGGAAGCCTAATTATGTTCCATATCCTTTCACATTTAAGATAATATTCCTTCTAACCCTAATTACCTTCTAGAAGACTTCATAGTCTCTTAACCCTAGGTAATATTTTAGAAGGAATATTTCTCTCCTAAGGGAATTAAATAATGAAAAATTCATAATTCATACATAGAATTAAATAATAAAATATTTCACTAGAGTAATATTATTGCTCTATCCATTTAGCTCTAATTTTTTCAATAAATTTGAGCCTCAATTTGATTAATTAATATTTATATATTTGACCAATTGACCTCCCTATGTTTAAGATATAACGTCCGTTGATTAATTAAATTACTGACAAAATAATTAATCAACTTTTTATTCATTTCCGAAACTAGTACCACTCAGATCTTTAACCATTATGTCAGATACACATCCACATGCAGGGTTTGGCATAATTTTTTTTACTCAGCTCATTTCGGGGACGTCATCATCCCACCTCACTGGGACATAGTGACCATAAATAATTTATAACAACACATCATATAAACACCCTTATTTACCAAAGTATCAAGTATGTCATCCTAACAGAATAGTAATAACCCTTGCTAAATCAAACAAACAAGTAATGAATATATGTGCTCGTTTTATATTATCTTACGGCTTTAGAGAACACGTCAATTACCGAAGGTCTAGATTACAACTAAAATTAGTGAGTCTCATAATCTTATCCTTATGCGGTCATGTTCAATATTTATCATAAGTACTAGTGTAATCCATCAGTCAAAGACCAACCGAATCAAGAATTACACTACGGTGTTTTTCCAAGAGGAGTCTCAATGCATGTCTAGACTGTGAACAAGTAATTTAGTCTTAATCAGAACCGATAAATGATCTTTCTATTCGAGACACCACGAACCATACTATCTCAATGTAAGACAAGGAGTATAATTGCATAAATAACTAAATTGTAAGCATATGTACTTTGACTAAAATATGATTGTCAGATCAAAATATAGTTGATAAAATCTGCAAAACGAGCTTTTACAATATATCTCTAACAAGGTTCCAATTTATCTTCGTTATATGGATAATCGTCCACCTGGATTGTCTTCTTTCCTTCTGGATTCTTCGTGAATTTCTTAATCTGAGGGTTGCCGATGAGCTTCAGTAGCTCATTTTTAAGATTACGACACTAACCGGTGTTATGTCTATGGGAATTATGGTGCGCACTGTGTCATGACTTATCAAGATAATCTTCACTAGCCCGCATAGGCCTTGGTTATGGAATAATACCAGTGTTTTCAGTTCTTTGTACACGGCGGTGGCTCCCGCCGTGTACACCTTGTGATAGTATGATTTCAATTCCTCTTGCCATTGTTTTCGTAAAGCACGCACTTGTGTAGTTCGCGCATCGTTCGTGTGATCTCATCCAGATTTTTCTTTTTTTTTTTTTTTGGATTTGCCGAACTAGGGGGTCCAAACGTCAGGACTAACATAGACTCTTCCACGATCACATGTTGTTGGGCCCATGACAAAAAATCTTGATAAGTTAGCGACTTATTTGGAATAGTGACCATCGGAACATTGAGTTCCATTTCTGACTAGAATAAGCCGAGACCAACAAGTTTCTTGGTGACTGGTTTCGTGTTTTGTACGCGTTCATTGAAATACGCAATGTAAACCTTCAAACTTTTGTCTGCTCCTTGGACAATGCTCGTAATTGACTCCTTCGATATCATACATACTTGAGACCCAATAAAATGAGATCTAAAAGCCGATCTAAGCTGGTGCAAGTCTTGATGGAATGAGGGGGTAGAGAATGGTACCACTTTATGCACGCGGTCCCAGGATGAGGGAATACCTACGACACCTAAGTGCGTTCTTTGCACCATATAAGTCCATCCAAGAAGTGTAGAGTCCCAAATGAGAGTCGGGTCTTAATTCCCATCATATAGGCCGATTTGTGGGATTTTCACTTTATTCGATAAAGGGTCAAGGAGAATGTCCAAAGATAGAGGTGAAGCCATTTCCACCAATGAGTTGTTAGGGGATGTATGGCGCCGACACGAAATGTCGCCAGTTTGTTTGTCTGACAAGTTTTGCCACATTCTTCTGTAGAGCGACGACTTCCTTCGATTCCTTTTGGATGCAAAACCCTTCAAAAAATATTTTCTCAAAGATCAAGATGAGTTTTCTTCTTTCCCAGTCGCTGAAACGCAGAAGTTGTAGATCTGAAGCGGCGACTGCCTTCGGACTTTCGGTCTCTTCTTGACTTTGATCTATGGATTTCTCCATTTGGCTATAAGTATGATCGGTAGACTGCTCGGTCGAGCGTGAGTGAGTTGGTTCCTGTTGTTTGTCCAACGTCGTGTTCAAATCTTTCTTGGCTGGTGTCTTTAGGACATTCGAAGATGACGACTAGGGTTGTAATAAAAGGTTTGAGAACCCCTTTATGAAGTCAGGATTTTGTATGAGTACAGTAAAATCGATGTGTGAGGCTCATAGAACGTAGTCGTCCGACCCCAATGCTCTCAACTAATCATTCTGTCTTGGTGATGACATTCCCACATCCTATCTCTCTTTTTCTTATTTTTTTCTTAGAAGTTATGTTATTTTTAGGTAAAAGATTACTCCAAAACAAAATTAAGCATGTTCCCGTAGCGCTAAACTATTGTTATAAGAATTTGTAACAATCAACATTTAAAGTGAAATGAATTTAGTTTATTAACTGTATGCCGAACCGAATTGAAGATCGACAATTTTTTGTTGGATTTTCATTCAACCTTTTGCAATCATCTTTTAGTAATGATCCTTTAGAATTTTTGTTGCTTCAAGTATACAATTGATTGCATTCCCTCGCTACGTTCGCTCCGTTACGCTCGCAGGCATCAGCCTGCCTACTTCCTATGTCAATATATGAGCCATACCAAAAAATCTCCACCTTGGCGAATATATCACCTCCTTAGGAGAACACAATAGCGAGCACCTCTGCGTGACACACCAACCAGGCCGGGGGTACCATGCAACTCTAGCATGCAGAAACATTCAACAAATCTAAGCAATGCTTGAATTTGTCAGAAGTAACAGTCTTAGTCAACATATCAACAGCATTCTATTCAGTATGAACTTTCTCGAACTGAATATCACCAGAAGCAATCCATTCCCTAATCTTGTGGAACCTCACATCAATATGCTTTGTCCTAGCGTGATATATCTGATTCTTAGCCAAATGAATGGCACTCTGACTATCACAATGTACTAGAACTCCACCTTGCTAAATACCCAACTCTCTAACCAATCCAGCAAGCCACACTGCTTCCGTTGCCGCTTCAGCCAAAACAATATACTCAGCTTCAGTTGTAGATAGATCAACTATAGGCTGAGTATTCGACCTCCAACAAATAGGCCCTCCACCAAAGTGAAGACATACCCAGTGGTAGATCTCCTATTATCCAAGTCCCCAGCATAATCAGAATCCACATATCCTACAACCAAAGGATCCAACCGCTGATCTCCAAACACAATACCATGTCCCGCAGTACCTTTCAAATATCTGAAAATCCATCTGACTGCCTCCCAATGCTGTTTACCCGGCCTAGACATATACTTGCAAACTTGACCAACAACATGAGCTAAATCAGGACGAGTACATACCACGGCATACATCAGACATCCAACAGCACTGGCATAAGGTATCTCCACCATATCCTGAGTCTCCTTGTCCAACTTGGGGCACATATCAATAGAAAGCTTGAAGTGGTTTGCTAATGGAGTGCCCACCGGTTTTGCTTCATTCATCCTAAACCTCTGTAGCACCTTCTCCACATAACCCTTCTGAGATAACCACAGCTTCTTTGATCCTCTATCCCTACGAATCTCCATCCCAAGAATCTTCTTCACAACCCCCAAATTCTTCATCTCAAATTCCTGAATCAAAAGGCTCTTCAGATCAACAATATCACGCAAATTCTTAGCAGCAATAGGCATGTCATCAACATAAAGTAACAGAAAAATAATAGAACCATCACCAAGGCTCTTAGTGTAAACACAACAATCGAACTCACAACGCTTGTAGCCAATCTTCAGCATATACGAATCAAACCGTATATTCCACTGCCGCGATGCTTGCTTCAAGCCATACAAGGATTTCTTCAACCTGCAAAATAAATGCTTCTTCCCTGGTTGAACAAAACCCTTTGGCTGCTGCATGTAAATAGGCTCTGCGAGATCACCATGCAAGAAAGCAGTCTTCACATCCATCTGCTCCAAATGCAAATCCCAACTAGCCACCAATGCAAGTACAGCCCTGATCGAAGTATGTCTAACCACAGGGGAAAATGTCTTATCATAGTCAATCCTCTTTTGCTGTGAGTATCCTTTAGCCACCAATCGAACCTTGAACCTTTCCCCTCCTTTTTCTGTTACCGATGACTTTCTTGTGTAAATCCACCTACAACCAATAGCTTTTTTCCCTTCGAGAAGAACATCCAACTCCCATGTTTGATTCTTGTGTACAGAATTCATCTCTTCTTCCATGGCAGACTTCCATCTATCACCGTTCTCAGAAGAAACAGCCTCTTGGAAAGTACAAGGATCTACACTAGTGATCGTAAAAGCAAATACGACCATATCTTCATAACCAAACCTGACCGGAGCTTGTATATTGGTACGCCTCACTCTATCCCAAGCTAACTTGTAGCTCTCTGGCACATCAGTTGGGCCAGAAACATCATGGTCAACATCATCAGGTGCAGAACTCGAACTCTCTTTCTTATCAAGAACTGCTGGAACAGGTTCCAACTCCACCTGTACTTTATCTGCATCTGATCCCAACATAGATTGTTCATCAAACACTGCATCTCTACTAATCACCCTCTTCTTCTCAACTGGATCCCAAAACTTGTATCCCTTCACACCTTTCTTATAGCCCAGAAAAGTGCACTTCTTTGATTTAGCATCAAGTTTTGACCTCTCATCAGCAGGAATATGAACATAAGCAGGACAACCAAAAATCTTCAGATGATCAAAACTAACATCATTACTTGTCCATACTTCTTTTGCAACTTTGCCATCCAGAGATGCACGTGGTGATCTGTTAATCAAATAACAAGCCATACTTACAGCCTCAGCCCAGAAACTCTTTGGCAAACCCGCATTCAGTCTTAAACACCTCGCCCTCTCAGCTAGTGTCCAATTCATCCTCTCAGAAACACCATTCTGCTGTGGTGTTTTACGCACTGTAAAATGCTTTTGAATCCCATGCTCCTCACAAAACTTCTGGAACTGTGAATCGGTGTACTCTGTACCATTATCAGACCTTAAGTACTTGATCTTTCTACCAGTCTGGTTCTCCACCTCAACCTTCTATAGCTTGAATTTGGCAAAAACTTCAAATTTTTGCTTCATGAAATACACCCAAACTTTCTTCGAAAAATCATCAATAAAGGTCACATAGTACACAGAACCACCCATCAATGTCACTCTAGTATGACCCCACACATCTGAATGCACATAATCCAGAATTCCTTTTGTCTTCTTCTTCCCAGTCTTGAAACTGACTTTTGTCTGCTTTCCCAGAACACAAAACTGGCAGAAATTGAGTTTGCAAGTTTTAACACCATGCAGAAGCCCCCTCTTATGCAGTTCAGTCATGCCATGTTCACTAAGATGTCCAAGACGCATGTGCCAACATTTCGTGCTATCTTCACCCGACTCCACCGCATGGACTCCACCTACAGCTGTACTTCCCAACAGGTTGTAAATGTTCCCTGTAGTGATCGTCCCCTTCATCACAGTCAAGGCACCCTTCACAATCTTAATGGTTTCCCTATCCTCATCAGCCTTGGGAATGAAACCATTTCTATGCAAAGTACCCAAATAAATCAAATTCTTCTTCAACTCAGGGATATGTCTCACATCACATAATGTCCTAACAGTTCCATCATACATCTTGATTTTGACATCCCCAATACCGACAATACCGCAACATCTATCATCACCAAGAAAAACAGAACCCGAGTTACCTGGTTTATAAGTAGCAAACCACTCTCTGTTAGGCGTTATATGATATGAACATCCAGAATCGAGAATCCAAGCATCATCATACTGCGCAGTCGAAATAGATAACACATCTCCATCACTGCAATCAGATTCCTCATTCTGTACCACATTCGCAAACTTGGATGACATATCAGCAGTCTGTTACTTCCACTTTGGGCAATCCCGTTTAAAATGCTCTTGTTCCTTTAACTTATAACACGTCACAGTTTTCCACCCTTTCGATTTGTCCCGCGACTTGGATCTGAAATTCTGATTTCATGAATTATCCCGCACCTCTCTTTTTCCACGATCCTGGTTACCCTTCACATATAAGTTGTCACTTTGAGAAGATGACTCTCCAGAGTTCTGTTTCCGCTGGTTGTGAGCCAACAACGCAGAAGTAACCTCCTCAGTCTTGATCGTTTCTTTCCCATATGTAAGGATAGTCACCATATGTTCGTAAGAAGGAGGTAACGAACACAGTAAGATCATCGCCTTGTCTTCATCTTCAATCTTGACTTCGAGTGAAGCCAAATCCGTGACAACCTGATTGAAGATATTCACATGTTGCCCTAAATCGGTCCCCTCCTCTTCAGCCCATATAACCTCTGATTCATATACAGTTTTGTCGTTAGGGTTTTCGACATGAACTGCGATTCCAGTTTCTTCCAGATCTCATCCGCCGATTTGAGATGCATAACGTGATACATAACTTCATCTACAAGGCACAACTGAATCGTCTCGGCCGCCCGTTCCTGCAGATCTTGCCAATCATCGTCTGCCATAATCTGAAATTGCCATGACCATCAAATTTCGAGACCTCGAATTTCGATCCTCCCATCATTTCCGTCGCCCAATCAACCAGGCTATGGTACCACTTGTTGAGAGAAGATGACAATATGGCATACGAATTAAAAAAAAAACACGAGAAAAGTAAACAACACAAGATTTACGTGGTTCGGCAATGTGCCTACGTCCACGGCGGCTGAGGGATCTTTTTATTATTCTCAATAGTCTCTAATACATTAATACACCATGTTTTGTACTATAACCCTACAAGGTATTAATTTACTTAAATACCCCGTACCGCTCCGCTCACTTCGCTCGGTCGCTCCGCTTACCTCGCTACGTTCGCTCCGTTACGCTCGCAGGCATCAGCCTGCCTCCTTCCTTTGTCAATATATGAGCCATACCAACACACTACGTAACACCCCGAGTTTTAGTAATAAAGGAAAATACTAGTCTTTTAATTTTAAGCTAGCCTTTGTTACTAAATTATCATGTTCATGTTCAAGTTCAGGTTAATCAGTTAGTTATATTCCAAGTTCGACTATTAGTCGATAAATTATTCGGTTTAATTATTTAAGTAACCGAATAAGTTTCCAGATTTAATTCCGATTCGTTTATTTAATTAATGAGTTCGGAATTAATTATTCAGTCAGGAATATCCCGTCATGTTATTAATGTAAATCATGCATTTAATTCCGATATAATAATATTGTCGAGTATTATTTTCGGAATTAATCATTTTCAGTCGAGATTACCCGAAATTATTTTCGACGTCACGTTTACGTTCAAAATAATTTTGGTGTTAATTATTGAGATTAGTTAAATAATTAAGCATATTGAATTATGCTTAATTAAAGTGATAATTATGTTAAATATAGTAATTGCCGTGGGCAATTTTGCAGAAAGTCATGAAGATTCTCCCCATTTCTTTCCAAAAAAGCCGTGAGTTATTTAGTGATATTTAGGAGATAATTGTCTTCAATTTACTAAGCATGAGGTGTCATCAATTTAGCCCTTAAAAGGTGACTAACCTCTTCATTAGGTGACTAAGCACCAAGGCTTAGCAAGTGGTAAATTACTATTGGTTAGTAAAATTCGTCCTCTTCATGATATGCTCTCGTCATTATATTTAAAGGGGGAGTTGGGACCATTTTTGTTTCCCATTTTCAGCTCATATATTTTACTATAAGCTTAGTTATTAAGTATAGAGAAATTTAGAGAGTTTCCCTTAGTTCATCAAGCACACGCGAGAGTACCGCACGAAGCAAAGCACCGCACGGAGCCAGAAATCACGCCCGTTATCGGGGTTTAGTCGAACACTTGAGGAGGTAATCTTGTCCTCAACACACATTCATGTTATTAAAATCATGTTAGGTTCAATTTGTTCAGCTCATGTTCCAAAATTCCATGAAAATGACATGATGTGTTCGATTTAAGCCATAACCGAGTAAACTTTCTTTTTATCCAGCAAGTCCCGAGCAATACATTTTTATTTGATCATTATAAGTCAGTTTATACTCATTTCATTCAATCACTTAAGGTCGGTCGGAGGAATTTCATGTTTAGTCGAGGGATTGGCTTAATGCCAATCATACGCGTACGGTGTGCGTACCTCGGCACTCCTATACTTCATTGAGTAAAGTTTTTTAATTTTGTGAAAGCTCAGTATGTATGATCATGACATGTTATATTATGATGAATCATGTTGAGGTTGCCGGAGAAATCGCCGAACGGCCGGCAAGAGCCGAGCGTATGCACGCTGCCGCACATAGCGGTTGTGCGTGTCGGCTGTCAGGCAGCACGGGCTGCCAATATGTGTGCATGCCTGTGGCAGCGGCACGTACCCGCCCGCAGCAGCAGTCAGTAGTTGGTCGTGTATGTGCGCACGCCAACGTTCAGTTGTGCACGCCAGCATGCGGTAACGCACGCCAGCGCGCAGCATCACGTGTCAGTGGCCCCAGCAGCGCCCAACGGGCCGCCCGAGTAGCCAGCGCCGCGGATGTCGTTCAGTAGCACCCGCGTAGCGCCAGTCATGTCTAGCGCTTATGCGCGCACTCAGGAGTTCAGCAGCACATCGCGGTGTGCGGTAACACCCAACTGTACCCAGCCACGCCATACCAGGAGCACGTTAGCGCACGCTAGCGCGCGTGTCTGTGCTCAGTGCTGCCCAGCAGCCAACGCCCGCGGCCAATCCAGGCAGCCTCGGCAGGCCCGTGGACCGAGCCAGCGGCCGACTGCCCGGCCAGAGCAGACCAACGGTCCGGCCAGGCCGGTTCAGTCCGGTTCAGACTGGTTAGACCGGTTCAGCCTATATTTCCATGTTTTAGTCCCGGTTCATGTTTAAGTCCCATTTTTCAGTTAAAGTTCCAGGTCCAGTCAGTCAGTTCAGTGTAATCAGTTAAATTATCAGTTCAGTATTTTCAGTCTAGTCAGTTAGTCAGTTCAGTTCAGTATTTCAGTTGAATTTTCAGTTCAGTCAATTCAGTCATGATCAGTCATGTTCAGTCATGTGCAGTTAGTACAGTTCAATTTAGCAGTACCAGTTCCGTCTAGTCTTTCTTATCAGTTAAGTTAGACCACGAGATGGTTCCAGTTAATTATTCAGATCGAGTCGAGCATCTTAACAGCTATTTTATTCAGTCTGAGCATAGTACTTAGTATTTGTTTATATATGTCAGTTTTGCAGATGATCAGCACTTACATTTTCAGATCAGCAGTTCAGGTGGGGACTCAGACTGGGTATTACATTGATTATAATTACGCTACCATGTTTGAGGTATGTATTATCAGTATCCGCTCAGAATGGTCGCCGGTCCATTCTGGGTTCTAGTGGCCTTAATCTGCCCACTAAAGTGTGCACATGGTGTCCGGCTTATGCTGGCAGATGTTCAGTTATCAATCAGGTGATGTATATCATGAGATCAGTATCAGATTATTCAGTACCGGTATCAGTTTCAGTTTCAGTTCAGTTCATTTATATATGCCAGGATCATGATATTGTAATTATTTTCACTGTTTACTTTAGTATGAGTTTCTGCGGAGCACAGTGTATTAGTGCTCACACCCCCACGTTATTCATGTTTTCAGGTCACAGAGTCGGAGCCGAGGAGTGAGCGGGCGACCGGTTCAGGACATTTGTTTATCTGTGTATGTTATGTTTGGCTACACTATGACTCCGCTTCCGTTTTTAGTACTCTAATCCAGCTTTTGACCCGATGTTAGTCGGTTAAGGTATTATATAACCGTTTTATTATTAAACTCAAAAATTAACGGTATTCAGAATAAGTCAGATTTTACGGTAGCACTCCGAATCAGATTTCGCAAAAGAAATATTTTATTTATTTTATTTAGAAAATTTGCAAAAAGCGCACTCTGATTTTCATGAAATAGCGGGGTGTTACAATTGGTATCAGAGCACGTTTCTGCGACTCTGAAAATTTTTACGAGTCAGAAATTTTTCAAAAACCTGAAAACGTCACGCTCACGCCTCGCCGACTACAGGTAAGTGTTGTTTCATGTTTTTAAATTATAAACAAATTACTATGTCTATGCTCAGAAATTTCTCAGTTATAATTTAGTTAAGATGCTCGAATCATGTTCAGGAACAGTAGTCAATACTAGTATACTCAGGATTCAATGTCAGTATTTTCCCAGTCATGTTTAGCGACTCGTCAAGAGATTTGTAAGCACTTATGTTATACAAATCTTAGCAATCATGTTCCTCAGACATTTTCTATCGAAAATTACCCATTTTGCCAACCTGTTGGCACATTCTAAGAAGGAATTCCTTGAGTTAGATCAGGGAATAGACTCAAGTTTCCTAAGTCAGATCAGTAAATCAAGTTCAGGACAATATTTTAATACTGAAGGTTGTTATAATTCTCAAGTTATTGTTAAGGTGATGATTTCCAGTGTATAAGAGTCAATAGTCCGGGTTACCATGGAGGCTTGAAATAAGAGTCACTCAGTCGGGTATACCATGGAGGCTTGAAGCGGGACCCGAGCAATGTGATTTCATGTGATAACAACCTTTAATGTCAGTTATGTCATGTATTTTGTCAGTCAGGATACTTCAAGTTAAGGTTTTCAAAGTTCAAGATCAGTTATTCCTTTTGTACTTGCGGGACCAGTTGTTACTAGAACAGCCCTATACAGTACATAGTCATGAGTCAATGTTCAAGATTTAAAGTTAATGTTCATGATTTAAGGTCGACGTATAATAGTTGTTCAACCGGGTTAAATATGGAGGTCTGCAATACAGACTATTAATCCAATTCTACCTGGAAACTTGAAGTCGCACCTTATCAAGTCAAGTAAATCAGTAAATGTCATGTTCCAAATTCCGAGGCGACTATTTAGTTGTCTCGGGATAGCTTTCAGAGTTCAGGTAAAGATGATTTAGTCATGTAAAAGTCAAGTCATGGTTATCCAGTTATGAGAATATTCAGACTAGTTATGCCAAAGTCAAAGATAGCTTGTCTAATAAGACAAGACGTATCAGTCATTTCAAGAATAATCAGTGCCTCGATTCTCAAATTCTGAAAAAAAATTAAGAAATCGTAGGAGATAGTAATTCATGATAGACTTTTCTTGAGGTTAAGTTTGACCTCAGGGAAGGTAAGCAGTTGCAGGTATCACATGTTAACATACAACGCGACGAAGAAGCACCAATCAACAGTAACAGCCCATGCCATGATGGCCAACTGAAGCTTTTCATCCAAGGATGCATGACGCAAGAAAAGAAGGATTCCATGTCTGAGTTACAGTACACAGGAAATTACAGAGAGTTCGCATTATAGTACATTGAGGTTACTAGCTTGAGATACATATACGATCAGACTACGTCGACGACACAAGTGCAATGTTCGCCAGGTGCTGTATGCAGGCGTGCCGCACTCACTTGATGAGGAGCAGGTGTGCCTCAATACAATGTGCCGCGAACGATGTGTCGTGTTATCGAGCAGATGTTCACGAAAGGTAATCACCGATATTGCTAGTCATCCTCATTTCTACATGTGCATATCTCTGAAATTGTCCTGTGTGTACCAACAACTG